TGTTTTTATTATTATTATTATTATTATTATTATTATTATTATTATTATTATTATTATTATTATTATTATTATTATTATTATTACCTCTTTCCACCACCTTTCCTTATAATGCAAATACATTCATATCTTTGTCTCTTGTAGTGGGAAATATATCAAGAATTGAAAAACTAGACTAGAATAAGAATGTACTGTACCTATTAAATTTCCTCACAATGACGTTGGTACCTATGTCATGGCAATCAGTTTTATACTAAAGATCCACTAGCTTGCATGATGCTGCATTCAGATCTGTTCGCGTTATCATTAATAAATAAACGATAAGTAGAAAAATATTACTATTCATCGATATAATTTACATTCTCTAGTGTTGTAGTTATTGAAATAACTCTTTTGACGGAGAAAAAGTAACTTCTGTCATTGGTCTCTTAATTGGTACACACAAATCTGCTCCAGTAAGTAATCGTTGCATACCTGTTAGTGCAAACCTTAAACAGGGCCATATGTGCCAGGACAATAAATCTAAGCGATTAAGTAATCGCCTATTTCTCATTTCAGTTTTGTTAAAAGTAGATTGTGTTGATTTTTAGGAGTTTGTTCGTTTTAGGAGTATCTGCATAGGAACAACATAATCCTTTATATGCAGCGGTGTAGGAGAGAAACATTTCATCCAAGGGTCAAAATTTTGTGTCAGATACTCAGGAAGACCTCGCATCAGAAGCAAAATTTTTATTCCGGGCGTGAAATTTTCCTATCTTACACCGAAACCTAATGAATGATTCTTTTTTTTTTCTCCAGTAGTAATACTTTTGTAACTTTCAAACAGCACATCTAACGAAAATTTCATTACCTTAAGTTAGAGCGTAAAAAGTAAGTTTACACATTAAATGACGTTTAAACGCATTCAGCTTCTAAAGAACAGTGGCTGAAACTGTTATATAGTAAAGATAATGGTAATATACAGCATCCGACTTGCAGATAGCTTGCGTACTGATACAAAATTTGAACATGTCAAAAACTTAAGTCTTTTCTTATCTCAAAGATTAAATGAGACAAATAAAATACAATTAAAGTCCTAATTTTAGCATCAAGCTAGAATTGATTTACTTCTCATATATAACAAGAACAATATTTTTTTTAAAAAATATGAAACTGTGAAAACGAAAAAGCACTAAAGAAACCGTAACTGTAAATCGGCGGATCAGTGCGAAACGGCCTGTTGGCAGGACACGTGAATGTCAACCACTATTCGCTTTAGTAACTAAATTTGTTGCAATTAATGTTTACCTTGATTATTGTTAAAGAATGTTAAAGTGATAATGAAAATCAGGAAATGGTTGATACTTTGTATGATGTGCTTGCAGTAGACGGTCAATACGAATCAAAGTTAAGGACACATGTGATGTGTATTTAATAGAACCCACGATATGCTTCTGTGCAGAATAGGAAAATTCAACCAGAGGGTCTGATGGAAAATTTTGATATTTTCATTCCGAGGGTACAGGTCTCCTATTTTACACCGAAGTTCTTTTTCTCACATTTCTGAACGAAAAATGACGGCCGAAACAAAAATGTACGGCATCTAGACAGTCCAAAATAGTCTACGAGTCAGGATAAATGTCACTGTAAGGCAGGATAAAATTATCCTGATTATGATTTTACACCACAGAACTTAGTCTGAGTTTCCTCTGACCCTTGTCATCCCATTTTTGATATTTGGACATTTATGTTGTGGTGCATGGTTTGAGCCCAATCCCTATTGAAAAGTTGGAATTCGCCGACACCATTTGGTGTCGGCATAGGGTTAGCCGCTTACTAACCGGTCTAGCAAACTCTAACGACTTTTCATTGAAATATACCTGCACGAATGATTTATTTTCTCAGATATTGCGATTATAGCATTCGTTATATCTTTATCCTCTGAAACACTAACCGAAACTATAGCGTTGATGAAATTTGACCCGAAACACGTCTTTTGTATTCCAAGTCACATGATTACTCGAATCTCGCGACCCATATGTCAATGACTTCAGAGTTGAAATAGTCACGCTTATACAAACAATTAACCATTTCTAATATTGCTGTAAGAAAACAAATTGAACATATAAATAAAAGTCACGTAATATTTATAGAAAAATAAAAGAACAAACTTCTAAAAATATTTATTCTGGAAACAACGACCAGAAATCTGTAAATGTTGCAGCAGCATGAAAACAAAACATTCAACCAACAGCACAGGTCAACGCGGTAGTCACGCGCTACCAGTAAAATGCTTCACTGACACGTGCTAAGTACTGAACTAATCTGGTTTTATCCACCTTACTTTGATACCTACAGGTATCTAGTCGCTGTTCTCAGATTAAATATGTTGAGAATTAAGTGTGCATTATATTTACGTACAAGTATTAATTAATATTTTCTAATTCTCTATACAACAACTTTCTAAATGGTTTATTGTTGATATAACGTGGCTATTGGGCTTCAGATGTCATTAACATGTAGGTTGCGACATTTGTGTAGTCATGTGATTCGGAATGCAAAAGCCGTGTACCAAGTAAAATTTCATCAACGATATAGTTCGGTCTCGTCTCTCATAGGATTAATGATAGAAAGAATGCTACACTCGCTTTTTATGAGAAAATAAATAATATTCTATCAATTTCATGCAGGTATATCTCGATCAAAGGTCGTTAGAGTTTGCTAGGCCGGTTAGTAAGCGACTACCCTTTGCCGACACAAAATGGTATTGGCGAATTCCAACTTTTGGAAAGGGAATGTACTCTGTCCCTACACCCCAATATATATATATATATATATATATATATATATATATATATATATATATATATATATATATATATATATATATATATATATATATCCAAATATCAAAAATGGTGTGGCAAGGGTCAGAGGAAACTTGGACTAAAAGGAACTAGGACCACACACATACAGGAATGTGAGTAAGAGCTATTCTGCACAGGTTTCCTACACTGGAAAAGTCATGAACATGTATGAATGTGAGAGAAAAAAAAAAAGAAGAAATTTCACCCCCCTCCCTGATGCTTGAAGTAATTTTCACATTCATATATATGAACGAATATTTATTTACCTTGGTTAAACTTGCGCTTCTTTCCGATTCAAGATTCTACTTCTTAACATTCAGTAATTAATCCAAAGGGTAGAGTCAAACTTGATACTTTTGTTGTGACATCAGACGAAAGCGTATATAGTGTGAAACATGATATAAGGTCCAAACTTCACCAACAATCAGGATGTAGTAAAACGCTGATACCTCCGTGGTGGTGATATCACCTGAAGATTTTACAAGTTAATGGTGTCTAACCAGGAAGAGTATATTACAATAGTAGTATCATAATGGGGATTTAACAGAGAGGATATCGATTTACTGTTGAACATTCAAGATCCCTATGACTTTCCATATTATATAAACGCCCATGCATCTGTGGTACATCCCCTTGGGTTCTGCAACTAATACCAGTGGGTGACAAATATAGTTCCATGATGGTGATTGTCCAGAGGTTTTCATGACCGATTTCAGATTTGTTTTTACTGATCAGGGTTAATTCGTCGACCTCATCCTCCTTCCCCGCAGCCCCGACTGTGTGATGAATCCCCATAGGCACACAAACATGGGTCCACTATCACGACGCCTAAAAGGGTGTACTGATCATGGTTAACTTGTCAAATACCCATTCATGTTCACACGATTTTTACTGTATGAAAATTATTTACCTGTTTCCATATCTTACAAAGAAATCTCAGGACATTTCCTATATTGGTCAGTGCCATCTAGAACTTGGTCGCGGTAATCGTTTTATCTTTGATGGACAACGATTACAGTTTACTAATTGTGCCGAGACTGATTTTTGCCGGCGTAAGAATTTTCGGAACACGTAATTGTTTATGCAAACGTAAACAATTTTTTTTCCAGCATCAGCAGCCACTCGAGTTGTTATCGCTCCTACAACAATTCTGACTGGCGCGCCTATGATAGTGGCCGTAGTCGGAATTTCAACAAAACCTAGGCCAACAACAGTTGCTGCCGTAGAGAATCCGCAAGTGGCGCCTACAATAACAAGCATACTTTTATATTTTGCGAGTATAAGCTTTCTTTGCGATTTCATCTCGCAGCTGTTGTTCAGCTGCAATTATTTTGTCGCGTTTGGAACTTTGAGGATCATAGGGTTCTGGTACGTTCTATTAACATTGTCAACACGAAGTATAGTTGCTCTACAGACTGGTCTTGCTCAGGTGCAACACACCTATACACCTATAAGCACTTAGCTTTTTCACTAGTACAACTGTCACACAATCGTAGAAAATGTTTTTGTGGGGACATTCACGTTGCCGACGATTGTGGGTTCTGGAAACGTGCCATCGTGTTCAGCTAGAACTAGGCTAATTACACCTTTGCTTTGTGCTGCAAATGATTTTTCTCATGTTTGGAGAAGTTACACGCGCAAGCGTCCTTGTTGAATATCAATAAATGTGTTTTTTTTTATTTGCTGGCCAAGTCAAAGATGATTTGATTTACCTTTAGGAAAATGTAAAAGACATGGATTTATCGGTGAATATTACTTAATCGTTGTAAAAACAATCCCTGGATGTTTTCACGCCCGACTGTGGTGTAGCTTTCAACAACCGTGAGTTTTCACGTGCTAATGCAAGGATTCCAAGCTTATCCGTAGTTGGCATTGATATTTATTTAGGTTAGTTCCAACGGTTGATTTCTATTTGATGTGATGTGATCATGATTTTTAACGTAGCTTTAACAATGTTTCAGTCATATCGCTACGATGTCTGCAGTGTGGCAGTTTATAGTGATGTCTAGCACTGGGGCATCATGCCGCAGACATGTAGCATGATGTCCCACCCAGTCACATTCTCCTGACACCAGGCCGACAAGTCCTAACACTAACCTCTTAATGCTGAGCGCCAAGCGAGGAAGCTGTTAGTACCATTTTTGTAAGTCTTTGGTATGACTTGACCGGGGACTGAACCCACGACCCCCCGCATCTGAGACGGACGCTATAACCACTAGGCCACCGGAGAGGTTATTTTTTTCTTTTTGACCCTCGCATATATTAAATTTGACTGTATGCGAAGAATTACTGACACCCTTTCACGCATATATTCGTCAACGAGTGGAACAAAATCACCATCGATGTTGGCACGCTCTCCCAGTTGATCCATCATCCAAATGTTGTGAACTGCAGAGACAGGGTTTGAGGTCTTTATATACGACTACCAAAGACGGTTAATAACGCTTCATTCTCAACATTTATCTCACATGTCCATATTTGTTCAAACTTGTCAATCTTGAAAGAGTGAAATCGAACATGTTTTAAATGACTTGTTAATGGAATCGGACCTAAATAGAGAACCTTAAAATCTAATATTTTAGCAACTGTTAGGTTGTCTATAGCTATATCATTATGAACGGGTTCTTCTTCAACCATTTTGTTTACCTCAATTACTGTGATGAAAAGAGAAAAAAAGCAAGACAATGAGGGCTTACCAAGATGTCGATGAATCTGTGAAACCATACCGGTGACTAGCGATGTGCCAAACTATGGCCCAAACCAGCACTGTTGATGGCCACACGTTTTGCGCTCATAAATTGGAGCAGATCATTTGCATAACAGGCAAAACTGCCTGAGGAGCTATGAAATGTGATTGATATTAAACTTCTGGCAATATATTAAGGCCCGTGAAGGTACTGGAAGGTTTTGGTGGCTATAAAGAAAAGCTTTCAGAAGCTGCCAAAGACTAAAAAGATGCTAAATTGTCAAATATATCTACATGCCGCACGGAATCTGGCAGTTGAATGTTCCAGCCCATAATACAGTGCACCAGGCCTTCCCAGCTTTTCCACTACATGACAAGGTTGGTTAATGCTGTCCTTGATTGATGTCCCCAGCTGTTACAAGGAGACTGAGTCACAGGCCACAAAAGGAGGCTTCCCAAGTTGTTGATGCACTGGCACTTTTTTTTGAAGTGGGGGCTACTGAAGCTGCAAAAGCATCTTGATGGGCAGCTTAGGGTGCCATGTTGCAACTCTTTGAAATTTATGTCTGAGCAGGTCTTTTTCTTGATTCACAGCACTAAAAATATCTAAGTACAATGCTTACGTATTGCATATTCCTATAAATGGACAAGATTTTACAGATGATAAGCTTGTAAACATCGTTCATGGAAATATGTGACAGTTGGTAAAAGGTGGGAGAATAACCCAATAGTGGCAATAACCACCTTTCTGTAGATACATTATTACAAGAATAAGCAATGGGTTTGCATGGCAAGCCTACTGAAACCAACACTTTAAACTCTTCACAACAACAATGCCAGTAGTGGAAATGTGATCCACCTGCAAGGGTTTGACAAAAAGTCAAATAGATCTCAGACTTGGATAGCCATTTAGATGAAATAGGGTGTACGGCTAATCTACAAAATTTGTATTTCTATGCAAAGTACTGTATTATCGAAAAATTCATTCCCAATATTTGGAATTTTCACATAAAGCAAATTTCATAGTAAATTCTTTCTCTGATAATACTTACCTGGTTACATTACATTAGATTACAATAACTGTCTCTCCTACCTCTAAATCAAGCCTTCTTGTAAAGACGGAACAGTGTCTATCCATATACTATAACAAGGGAAGCAATATATATTATATATAGTGCATTTTTCACTTGATCTTGTATTCCTTTTGCATGTATTCATAATTCACTTTCACTCAATCTCACAATGCTATGATTTCTTAAACAATTTACATCAAGCAAAATAAACATCTTCATCTTTTCCCAAGCAATGTCTCCTTCTGGTTTGGAGAGCCAACTTGTTTGAAAATGTATCTTGCTCACCATTAATGTAAGTTATGATAACCTGGATGTAATGCAGCTATAGTTGATTTCTTGTGTGGCTTATTCTTTTTTATCGTGTATTGCCACTTTTTCTAATAAAAATTATAATTTACTTATTTTTATTGCTGATTCAGGTTGAAGATATACTTTTTATGGTTTTCTTTTTATTTACATTTCTTTTTGTTAAAAATTTTGGCTTCTCAGGTATTTTAGGCTCCCTAGCAACCCAGGTAACAGTTCTACATCTTGATATGACAAAATGTTGAGAGGGTTATTTTATGACTTCTCTACAATAACCCACTCTGAATTGTGAATGAGGGAAGCAAAGGTTGTTCACATCATGAACAAAAAGCCATACTTACTGAATGGATTTCTAGCATGTCCTCATGGAAAACAACCTTTTTTGTGGACGACATCCTGAACTATGACATGACATGGTCTAATGTCTTCTTGATGGTACAACATCAACGTCTTGGTTCATGTCTTCTCCAACACATAAACAAATACATCAATGCATTTGGTAGGAAGATACCCAGTTGATATATATATATACCTAGATGGACTAAAATGTTGAGATGGGACAAGCTACAGAATGTTTATGTGGTGTAGTGCAGGAATATCAATGCAAGCAGATGTCCTGAACTCTTATTGAAGGCCCAAGGGCTTAGACTTGGGCCATATGAATAAATATATGCAAGTATGGAAGTACACATCTGACATGTCACAAATTACAAACATTCTAGAGTAGAAGCCCTGTTTGTATTATTTATACCACCTTTACACTTTTTGTACTATTTAAACCACATTTACAGTTTTTGTATTTATATTCACACCACCATTATAGTTTTTGTATTATTTACACAACCTTTACAAGAAAAACTATATTTTCTTTCGCAAAAATATCCCACTTCAAGGGATTGTTTGTGAGATCCTTCATGAAAGTAAGAAAACGAGAGAGAAGTGGTTCAGATAACAAAATCTGGAGCCCTTCTGACAAAGTTTGGTTCACCCATTGTTTTGTAAGTATGGTTGGTGTGAAGAAGGAGAAACTATGTTCATCTCTCTCCCTTCCTTGCCTGCCTGCAAAAATATGACCACCTATAATCTACTTGACTTGGAAGAAAAGAAAAACAAAACTGTCATTATTGAGAATGGCCACTATGAATTCTCCCATGACATTTGCCCATTCTCATTTTTGTTTCAAAATAGGGCTGTATTAAGAGACAAGTCTGTGTTGAAGGTTAACCTACACGTCTTGTTTTCTCACCTTCTCAATTCAACACCCAAACAGAAGTGCACCAATGAGCAATTGTATGCATAGACATGACTTTTAATTTAAACTTCTTGCATTTGGCTGTCACATTTGTAATAAGAAGAGGAAGAAAGAAATAACTGATGGCCCGACGGGTCAAGCTTGGGCCATATGAATCAGAATATGCAAGTATGTAAGTACACATCTGGCATAGCAAGAATTATCATGTACTAGTTACTTCTCTATCGCTGGTCTCATTTGCCATTTGCCATATAAAACATATATGCCTTTCTTTAATGTCTTGTGCCCCCTCCATCATGATAAAGCATGTCTTTGTTGAGTATATCTGACAATTCAGGTGAAACATCGCTAGGATTGTTGCTACACTGAATCACGTACCTGATGAAAAATGAATCCATAGTGCAATTAGAGGTACATGCATACAGGAGGTTTGGTAGAATCTGCAATAAACTGTAGCGGCTTATGAACTTTAAATGGAGTTACTTGAAGTACAACATTACTCATCAAAGGTTGTGTTTAAGAATATTTTGAAAGGGAAAATGAAATGCAGTTTAATGAAATTTTTGTCAGTTTGATCCGTAAATCAACCTGATGTTTAATGTTGTGCTGTATGACCAATTCTTGTCAACTTTGACTTTTCCTAGCAATGCCACATTAGATGAGGAAACTTCTTATTTTCAAGAAAAGAATGAAAAAAAAAAATCCTACAAAAGTCATCTTAAGCAGAAACACCTAATTTATCTGGAACTGCATGTTTGCACCGTTAACAATTTCGTGAACAATGACAGTAAATTAAACTGTCTCCAGGTTTAAAACTTTTGCAATTTTAGGGCCCCACAGCCATAATGATGATATGGTTATAGCGTCAATGATTTTAAAACATGCCAAGGTCAGTACTAATCTATTATTTATTTCTGCTGGAAAAGGTAGGCAAATATTTTATGAGAATTGTTTCTATTTCTGATATCAGCACTACTTTTAAATACCATAAGTGTTCACATTAATACATCAACTGGGCAGTAATATTGTCTTATCCTACATGAACGCACACATGAAGTTGCTTGTCACATTTTAAATTATTTGATCAGAACTACTATATTATTATAATCACCAGGTACTTATATGAATCTGTATCAGACAAGAATCATCTTATAGAACTATAAAGAGTTCTGAACATATTTTAATTCTTAATACAAGCAACCTTACATGAATTCAGTTTGTCTATTCAGTTATAAAATAGCTAAGTTGAAAACAGACTTTAGTTTATTTAATAATATGGCGTTATATAACAGCAGTGCTGTTTCAAGGCATAGGCACTCAAGGCATGTGCCTAGGGGCCCTTTTGCAGGCCCAACAGCCGCCCAAAAACAAAATTTTGGTGCCATTTTACCAGTTTAGTGTGTGATTATGATTTTTAACATAGCTTTAAAAAATTTTCAGTCATTTCGCTACAATGTCTGCAGTGCAGCAGTTCGTAGTGATGTCTAGCACTGGGGCATCATGTCATAAACATGTAGCATGATGAGTAATTTTGCAGTAAATGTTATACCCAGAAATTGTATTTGCATGTATTTCCCGTTTAATACTGACTTAATAATTTGAGATTTTCTTGTTTGAGAAATAATGGACAGCCATTTTATTTCAAGTTGCAACATCATTCCTAGATTATCTGTGTATCTTGATATGATTATCAATACCTAAATATTTGGCATAAAATAAATATAGAAATAAAATCAGTGAAATAAAACAAATCAAACAAATATATCGCAGTGTTGTAAAGATGAATTATGAGAAATGGTTTCAATGGGATGGGGACTGCTCTAATCAAGCCATTTTAACAGCAAATTATTAAAAAAAATATATACCAATATTTAACTGAAAGCCAATTTTCGAAAGTGTCAATTATG